CCCCCATCAAAATGCGTCCGGGACAGTTTATTACGGCGAGTGGAACAAAAATAACAAGTCCGCAATTAACATGGATATATAAATTATGCAAAAATAGAAAAGAGTGAACTTTGAGGTCATGCTGTGCGACTTTGAAAGTCGTTAGAGAGATGAGTGGACGCATTTGAATTAGTAGTATACCAAGGTATCCAGTGATGTAATTTTACCCACAAATGGACTTGAAGTTTTTAAGCTAATTTTTTTTAAACCACTTTTGTCCAAAAAAGCATATTTTTGACCCAAAATCAAAAACGCATTCTGGATATTTAAAATAAAGACAAGTTTTACAAAGTTTGTATAATAAGCTTTCAGAAAATATATAACATGTTGGATATATAATACCATCTTCATTGTCTAATTACTCAATTAAAAAGCAAGCCAAATAAACTGCATCTCTACCTTAATTCATTGTTATCAAACGAAATAGAAGCTCACCTCTATCAACAAGTTCGTTGTAACCATGACAATAATTAGGCATAAATGGTTTTACACCAGTTAGACCTTTCCAGGGTGATCTTATCGAACAACCTATTATGTAAAACAAAAACAGGTAGTCATCATAGAATATCAAAATATAGGTAGGATAGCTAGTAATTTCTTTCATAAACCAATGCACTGTGGGTTTACAAAGTTAAACTTGCGCTCAAATTAAGTGTTAATTTTTGGATGTTATTTTACCATTTTCTTGATATATGTTACGTACTATTTCAATGTCACTACGAAATCATGACATTTGATACACTAATATATTGACTTGCTTGTTAGATAGATATTTCAATTTATACACTTGTTAGACAATCATACCTGTTGGAAAAACATCCAAACAGTTCTTCTGTGCTGGGCAAATTGCCATGCTCCCAGCATCATCTGGAGAGGAAGATCTGTTGCCATTGACGACTTCACATGTCATTCTAGGCCAGTTGCAACATCGAGCATAGGCTCGCACACCTAGCATAAAAATATTGCAATATAAACTATGATTCGTAGTTTGCTTCATTTGATTGCGTGCGGTATACAAAATATTTTATTAGAAAATTGTGAATCGACATTTCGCGTTTTGGCTTTATTTGTGACAGCATACACATAGGTATAAATTATTTTTGTGCTATTTCATGAAAACACCAGTTGAACATATATACAAAGCAGAATTTGGTACGTTGAAATCAATATCAACAAACAAGCTTCTCATTGATTGGTCTGATTGTTAAGGAGTTGAGGTTGGGTAGCTTCAAATTGACACACATACCGAATTAAAGCATTAGTGTGACTGACGACTTACCATAACAACCAAACAAAATAATCCAAAATAACGTCAACATACCTTCCCCACCCCGGCCATTTCGCGCAACACAGACTCTTATACCATTTCCAGCATGTGTAAATAATTCACCGTCTCGCTCCGAACTGCCAGGTGAGAAGCTAGTGCAGTCTGTCATCTCTTCACCCACTGGACACGAGACTTCTGATGTAGAGTCATCATTCTGATCAGATAATGTACCCACTACGGTAGTACATATCCTACTACACACTGTGCGTGATACATAATATCAAGATAAGATTATTCCCTATAATTTGCCTAACATGTAATGAATGAATGAATGAATGAATGAATTAATGGATGAATATACATGAAGGAAGACGAGACAAGGTGAATGGATGAACAAATAAAAAATAGAGACAGGATGAAAAAAGAGGGTTGCAATGAATAACAAAATAAACGAAATGAAGGAACAAACAAATAAGCATTTGAATAGATAAAGAATGACTTAATGAAGGAATTTGTAAGTCCTCGTGTGACCCTCAACCATACTAGCTAAACTATTGTATTCTACACGTGTCCTATGTTATTGGATTATCCGATACTTGAATATAAGGAAATCACAAATTAAAACAGATACAAATATTATACTACTACATCGAACATCGTAACCATTATAGGAATCGCCATTGTATTCTACATTCTTGAAATATTCCAATCGTAACATTAAGTGTCAACTACCAAAACAAGAACGCAACTGCTTAAGCAATGAATTGATGAATAAGATGAAAAATTATGTACACTATGTATAAACTGTGTACGCATATTCAAATAGTTTGTGTTAAAATGATCTTGAAATGGGTGACTAAATGATGCTTTCTGAATCACCTTGGTAACGACACAGCCATACTAGACAGAATAAACTGTTTAATGCAGTTATTGTTCTTAAGAATGTTTAATATTTTTTTTAAAGATGGCCTTGACAGATGCACTACATGTCGACTGTTCAAATTGATATAGGGTTGTAAAGGAGGAGAGAGTTAACTTAATGCAAATAAATAGAATATTTATATTTTGTCATACAAAAATATGCTTTAGCAGAAGAAGCATTACATTTGCAAACATTATTAGTAATAAAATGTAGTCATACAATATGGCCGCAAAGAAACTATGAGTTTGGGACAATTCAATGTATGTAATTGATTGACGTGTTATGCATATTGATTTTTGTTTACGTTTTCGACGATAGAGATAGACTGACTGACCTGACTGGCTGAAATTTCTGGCAAAGGTAACATCGCAATAGTTATGCAGTCCCACTTTGATAACAAAAACATAAATGTAATCTATTTATATTTTCATCGGTAAAACATCTTGATTATCGTGTGGTGAATATAACTTGTGTGGTGTGCTATGGAGTTAGAGTACGAAAATTAATCATTTTTATAGTCAGCCGATTTGAAAGATATTTTGAAACAAATTCATATACTAGGTAGCAAAAATAAAAATGTTACTGGAAATTTGGCAAACATCTGATATACTTTTGTGGGTATTATAACTAATAATACGCTTTCAGTTTTGTTTATTTCATTCCATACTAGTAAGAGATGTTTAGGACGGTCATGAACTTGTGAATAGTAACGTAGCTTTCAATGACTATGGTAGTGCGATTGTTGCACCGAAATTAAATTAAACTATTGGAAGTCGTATTCCACTACTTGTTTGTCTATTGTTGGTGTTTTCATGTGTCTAATAAGTGTATGTTATGCATAGTGTCAGAATTGTTGAATCAATGTGCAATGATATGAAATTCAAATCTCGCGGATTTCAAGCATGAGTCCAATCGAACGTATTTAACCAATGACATCACTGAACACAGTGAAAAGCATATTAATGTTTGATTGTATAAAGCTATCACTGTATTAATAAACGCATATTCATCAATATGCCAGAACACCAGAGAAACCATCTTTTTCACATAATTCATTAATTGCATAGTATTTCTAGAAATGCGTGTGTGCTTAATGCACGTTATACCGTACATTCTGCTGGGATTTGCATCGTCTATCACTCCACTTGTATTATTAAATCTCATTATATTACTTGCTATACTGCTACCTCTCATGATATGACAACTATTATGACAATAGATGAATCAGCATTGCTTACCTCCGTCTGCAGTACAAAGCTACAACATGACAAAATGTACAATTAAGTTCACAATAACTTTGGTCGTATAGTTATACTATCTAGCGGCGTAATACATGGTTGTCAAGAACCATATTATTTACAAGAGTCTCTTAAAATTAAAATGGACATACCATATGATTCAGACAGTGATTACGGAAATGACAGTTACTCAATCAGTTACTATATTTCATCCTGGCACAACAATCACTGAATATCGACTGAAAATGTTTCAGATAAAAAAATTTCTCTTGAGTGGTATGTATGTAATTACTTACAGTAGTGAGCTCTGCCACTGCCAATACGAGGATTGCGCAATAAAGTCTATTCATGTTGTCTGTTTCAGAGTACAACTCATCTGATACTGTCCCGGTTATGTATATATTAGCGGTCTATATACGGATTTAGTTAGTACAATGGACCTAGCGGTAATGTGGTGATTTACAGTTTACAAGAACAATTAATATTGTATGTCTGAAAAGATTAAATATTAGTTAGTGGATTTTGAAATTTATCGGAGTTCACAGCTGATGTTGTAAGTAATGATATACGAGGAGGCAATATAGGTGAGCCATGATGAACATTGTTGCTTAATACAATTTTATATTTTTGGAAGGATTTTTGTTTCTTTTTTTGCGATCAGCATGTTCATTTTATACACGTGAAAAACAGATTTATCCGGGTACGGAATCGACTACTTATTTGATATTCAGTCCACGTTATTTACAACGCGCCTAATTAATTGTAAAGCACGCGTTATGTAACTGTTTTTGCGTAGATGAATGGTGGTGATATAAGGTATCTAATAGATATCTTATCTGGCTGGTGTCAGATTGCGTGCTTTTATGCCATGTCGTACCGTCTGGTGTACCATTAATCACAGCCAATACTATCTAAGGCAATAACCTACACTATAGCACACATAACCAAATCAGAATCCACTTTCACTCAAAATGATTAAAACGCACATACTCTCTGTCTAATTATTTTTTTTCAATTAGAAGCAGGTTTGGTGAACTCGTGAAAAAGACATTTGAAATTACATAATCCATTCCATAATCCAATTTACGGACTTGGGTTTGCAAAAAATAGTACTTAAATAAGAACACTTCGTATATCTTTTTCTTTGTACTTTGAATTTCATTATATATAGCCCCATGTCAGTCTATGTGAACATATATAACTCAACACTTAAATGCAGTTTAGTATTGTTGCACACTCTTTTAAGTCTAGACGCCATTCGCTAATGTAATTAAGTGACACATGAAAATAAAGGGCACAGTGTATGTGTCTAACCTATTGATCATTTGATCCAATATTTTTGAAATATTAATGATTTAATGACAAAAATCTTAGTTTTGTTGATAAGGCTTCATGTATAACCGAAGTTGTTGGACAGTTACCCAAAAATTAAATTTCACGCTATAGAAAAGGAGCCGTTAATATACAATTTTGATCATCAATTTTGGCTTTAATATCAAACATGGTTCATACACGTGATCGTATATTTGTGTCTATACACGGAGTAACTGTAACAAACATGCACACAATTTTACTTTCACCATTCCGTGTTAAGAGCAGTTGCGTCAACATTAATTATAGTTCGTGCAATGTGCGGGGTTAAAATCAGCTTAGTACAGCTGCCAGCGTCTACTCCAGAATACATTATTCCGTGCCGACAATATTCACATGCTTGCTCATGTATCATTTTCTTTGGTCAATTCAATATGGATACATGTGTTTCGTCATCCTTCATGGTATTACAATAAAAATATTGCACGAAGCAGCTGCTGACCATATATAATTCTCGACAAAATACTTGTCTGATTCATTTTGCAATTCTTAATCGTAAATATCTGAATCATCTGTAGAAAATGTGCCAGCAAATTAATTATTATTAGTTATTTGTTCAAACTTTCCTTGAGTTTATGTAATGTTTTTGTTACGAATTTCCTCCAATATATTGCGATATATATATATTGTTAATATGTTGAACAGCTGGAGTTTAGTAAATCCCTGAATTTTTGAGCTGTTGGACAGATGGATATCCGTCAATTCTTGCAATGATTTATTGATATATACATGTACGCGTTATTTATTATTCTCTTAAATTACATATCATAACAAAATAAGCATATAAATATCGGTATAAACGTATCCATCACAGCGATATATATATACATAAGATCGTATCAGACCAATTGCACTCTGAAACAGAAAACATGAAAACTTTTTATCGCGCAATTTTTGTGCTGGCAGTCGTAGCACTCAGTACGGTAAGCACTGATACATGAATGTCCTGTATATATGTTTAATTCAAAACTCAATACAAAGTATACAAAGTAGAGCGGATAGATACGGTGATATAGGAATTACGACACACCTGCATGACTATTGAAACTCTACTCTACTGTTTGAATATATGTATATTCAAAAGACTGCAAAACTTAGTATTAGTTTTGGCGTTGTTGGAGATTCTGTCAGTTATTCGCACTGTCACGTAATTATTTCTACAGTCGCATGCTATGGTCTTTTCATGATGACTAAAGCAAGACATTTTGATGCATTTCTACTTTTATCACTAGATAGATATTTTGACGCCATATTTTCTATCATTTTGTAGCTTTGCACTGCACAAGGTAAGCACTATTAATATTTATTGTGAGGCTTATATTAGCATATTGTTTCATTGTGAGATGGAGCGCACCCTAGTAGACTGGTATATATGGGATGAGATTAGTGTCAAAATTAATAATTCCATTATTTTTATATTATTATACCATTCTTATGTCGTTTTTTGGTCATGTTTATATTATTATATTATTATATTATTATATTATTTATGTTTATATTTTATTAGTTATGCATTTATTTGTTTTGTGTCTGCAAGCACATGTCCGAGAGTTGCTAAAACAAAGATGGCTATCAACTTTACACAGCCAGTCATTGATGAGGTTAATATCATCGTGCTCACAAGCAAGTGATCTTGAAAGTGCATAGGATCGCTTAGACGCCCTCCAGACTGAACTATACAACTTGGCCATGATATTCTTGATTTGGTATTGGTTAAAGTGGGTCAAACCAATGAGATTGTAGATAGCATAATTAATGTTGAAAATACGAGTCTATGCAATCATTTTCTGCATTTACTCCAATTGTATTTCAGACATGTGGGAAAAAGCATTAGATCGAACTCGTGATTACTTTCATTCCACACAGACCGATAATAATGTAATCGTTATCATCATTGTTTTTTATGAAAATAACTTACAATATGATCTTCAGAGTCGGATATGACACTTGTCTGGTGTTGATTTTACGTTTGTAATTGTACTCTTCTTTGTTGTGTATCCACATATAATTCCTCTTCTGATTTGATTATTTCATTATTATAATTTGCTTTTAAACAAAATTTACATTAAAGGTGGGGTTAAAGGGTTTCCAGATTGTGTCCACAGACAGCTGCATTTCAATTCAGTCAATTTACTACATACTGAAGGTCCTACAAGTAAATGGTTTTCTATTTCTTCAAAGAGTGTGGTAGATCATGCACTACAAGGGTGGGACCACTATCTGCAGTGCATCCTGATGCAAAGTCCGAAGTAGAGTGCCAAGAACATGAAATCATGACTGGCTGCAGTAGTTACTCCCCTGGCAGTAATGATCGAAATGGTGACTTCTTTGACGCAGCTCTCCGTGGTAGAAAAGTCTGTACGGCCTATAATGGTGCAGCTAATTCAGGTATGTTGAAGACGACCGGAGTATGTGATTTGCATTATGTATGCTGCTGTTTTTTTGTTTCATTTCTATCATGTAAAGGTGTAAATGTGATATCATAGTATTCGTTGCGTGTATATATTAAATTACAATAGAAATTTGATGATACTTTTTTATCAAATAGTGCGAATGGGAATTTTTTGTTCAATTACTCGTACATGACTACTTATCACTTTTAAAAAGGTGGTCATAAATGGCATGACAATTATTAATTATAATCAAAGAGCAATAGTTCAATGGTAACATAAATCAGTATTATTTTGTGTGTCCATAATATTGAAAATTAATGGTCAAATATCAATTTAACTATAATAAAGCAAAATAGATGTATGTACACGTGTGTTGTTCTTTGTCACAACAATATGAATTATTGTATATTAATACCGGATTATAAACAACGAAACATCAAACGTTGAAAATCAAGGCGTTTATGTGGCACCGCACAAATGGTCTCACTTCTGTTAATATGAATATAAATGTTCTCCAACATAACGGTGTAGTAATTAGAATAAATTGTTTGCCAGTAATTATTGGAATCGCCGGCAATAACTGGCGCCATATTTTGAAATAATGACATTGCGTGGAACATAATGATTCCATTGTGTATTTGAATTGCAGGTGTGTATGCCTATGCTCGATGTTGCAGCTGGCCCGGTATGTCATGCTCATATTCCTACGGCAACAGGTCCTCATCTGCTGATGATGCCGGAAGTATGGCATTTTGCCCAAGCCAGATTGATTGTCTAGATGCCTTCGTAACAGGTAAATTTAATTAACATTGATTTGCAGATTGTTTTGTGCGAATCCGTACCATACAAACATGCGCATATGTTTTATTATTAAACAAATAGTTTGAGTATAATTTGCAGGATGTATCTGATACAAAATTAATGTGTTCAGTGTGTAGATCATCTTTACGTATGTTGTAATATCCCTATTCTTTCGTTTCAGTTATGTTCTTATTATTTACCAATCTAGCGCGATATTATATGAGTGAAATATAATGGTTATTGCAAAGATTCAATAAATCGGTATCACCTTTATCTTCTTCGTTTCATTTAATAGGTTGCTCGGTTAAATCACTAACGGCGGGTCTAACAGGGACGAAGCCTTTTATGCCTAATTATTGCCAAGGTTATAACGAAATGGTGGAGAAAGGTATAATTGTAATTTGTTCAGTTATATTTTAAAGTCATAGTCATAGACTGCTCGAAATGCTGTTTGAATAGTGAATCTTAGGAAATTTAGGAAACGCATGTGGAATAAGATTCTTGGTTCGAATTTCTACTATAAACATTTGCAACTTAAATTCTGAACCTAACTCTATTTATACAATATTTGATATCACAAACGAACTATAAAAGTATGTGAATCTTGTTGACAGGTCTTTGGGTACATGCTGCTTGTTGTTCTGCTCCTAATTTCAATTGTAAAACCAAATCCATTCTATCCGGCACCGGCGCGGGTGATAAAGCTATTATCGGGTGTGATGCTGGTTGGATACTCACCGGATGCTCGGTTCGAAGCCCGAACCATTATTCATATGGAGCCTACATTGACGGTATGTATTTTCGTGCCCATTTTCTTCCTATTATATAAAGTATGACATGAAAGCATTGGACATATGAAAACGTATGTACTCTCTTATCAGATATGACTGATGTACCATATAATCTGCTATACCAATATATTAATTTGTCGTTTTTTGTGTAGATAATGACAATTGTGTGGCTGTTAATGGTCAAGATGGCAGAAAAATATGGGCTTTAGCTGTATGCTGTAAAGATGAATACTAGAATGTCTAAGAGAAATTATCATGTATCTACGGTGTGTTGGTATATAAAAATATAACAATAACAGGAAGCATTAAGTAATAAAGATAATTTATTGATGGCATATTATTGTGCTGCTGTGAACGAGTAGTGGTGTTATGCAGGTGGTTTAAGCGTTGTGAATAGAATACAATACACTTCAGCATATACTGCAGTATATCCGGTGTATCTCATGGCATCACTTTTTAAGTTAAACTCTTAAAACACATTAATATGCGAGTATTGATATTTATTCTATTCAATAGCAAACTCTGTTCGTTTATTTATCTCTTTATTTTCATAACAAAATGATAAACAATAAAATAAATTATAAAAAAAATCAAACACACGACATTACTTTGAATAAACTATTCTGCAAAGTTTCAAAACTTACAAATTAACTAAGCATAATAATGCAATCATTTATTTAAACGGATTGGTAAACAGTGGTTTCGCTGTCACCTGTAGCATATAAGCTGCTGCATATGCTTCTATTTATGTTTTCAAATGTCCTAAATAATTCATCTTTGACTGTATAATATAATCATTAATTTGCCAACCTCAATTGTCCTGGTTCAGTACATTTTCATCAAAACCTTTAACACTTAAAATCTGTAACCTCGAACTGGATTTCATCTACTATGTATATAGCTCAAAAATATTAATATGTTATTATTAATAGTGTGTATAAACGTAATAGGCTAGGCATGAATAAATTGCGAACGTCTGGACAGGAAGTATGGATTGCCGTTAGGCACGACCGACTGTCCTGTGCTGCAATTCACTGGTAAGATTTCTTACCAAAAGCGGGTACTTTCAGATGCAAATGATAGTCTCGCAGATGTCTATCATTTTATCGTGACCAATCGTGAAAAGGGTCAAGGGTCGCTGGCTACTAGGATCGACCACGACTTACGACGTTTGTTTTGACTGTACTCTACGCAATCGTGACACTTTCTACAGCAGTTTTTGATATCATGACACAAACAAATCTTGAACGCATACGAACGCATACTTACGGTGGCCCATGGCGACAATCGTCGATATGTAACCAACTTCCGCGCCGACTCAGCAACTGTCCGTGATATGTAAGCAAGTTCCACGCCTACTTAGCAATTTGCGCGCCGACTTAGCAACTTCCGCGATATGTAAGCAAGTTTATCGCCGACTTAGCAATTTCCGCGCCGACTTAGCAACTTCCGCGATATGTAAGCAATTTTCGCGCCGACTCTGCAACTTCCGCGATATGTAAGCAACTTCCTCGCCGACTCAGCAACTTCCGTGATATGTAAGCAATTTTCGCGCCGACTTAGCAACTTCCGCGATATGTAAGCAAGTTTCGCGCCGACTCAGCAACTTCCGCGATATGTAAGCAATTTCCGCGCCGACTCGGCAACTTTCCGCGCCGACTTAGCAACAATGTAAATGGTTGTTAAATTACAGTTATTCGTTGTCATTATTTCACATTTTTGATAGATTTGAGCAATGGCGGTAGGCAAAAGTAGTGAACTGCGTGTCAGTGTAATGAAAGATGAAATAATAAGGTATTAGTATGAATATTAATAACTTATTTATTTATAAATGTGTACATAACTCTTTTTATTTCAATCTCAATAAGTGACTATGAAGAATGTACTTATATCTTGTATACGGGGGAGGAGACCTTGGCATGTTTTTGTTTTTTTTAATTTCAGAAACCTTGTACAACAGTCAAGGTGAAACCAAAAATATACCTCATATTGGTGATTATGACTGGAAATACGAGATACACTATTGTCCGTAATTGTTTATTCTTGTTTTCAATCAAATCTTATTATTTATCACTTGACTATTGTTCATAATATCCACAGTTGTGATGTTTAGTGTAAAATAACACTCACAGATATGGTCTTGTAAACATCACAATATTTCTGTTAAAGGTCATCATTGTTCTACATTACGTCATGTTGTGCATATATGATACGAATTTATTCAGTACAATGCCCTCAGGCCTATAGAGAATCATTCAAATAGTCATCAGTCACAACTGGTTAAGTAGATTTTCTCTTTGCTTAGAAGCGTAGAATACAAATTTGAAATACAGATAAGTCAAAGAAATTTTGCACATGTCTGAATTTACTGACAACAAAAATGAGGCACAGCCGGGAGTTATGCATATATAATTCTTATTAAACTTGTGACATCCTACTAATGTATTGTGCGGCCATTATGTGGGGGTAATAACTATTCAGGCAAGTCAAGAACACATGATATTTGTTCAAGGTATTTCTTCTAAATTTTAAAAGATTTTTACTGGCAATATCCAGGAATCAAACCAAGTTTCCATTCGATTAGCCAAGTAATTATATTAATCAAGTGATTAGTGAGGAAGTGGTAACATACCTGAAATGGGTCTCGTTTTTTTTTTTTTATTTTAGGTATAAGTATCGGTCTTAGTTCTGGTCAAGATAGGTATAAATATCGGTAATATTTTCCCCGATTTGGTATAAATAACCTCTTAGTAAGTGACAGAGGTGTTTCAAAATACATATTTTAATAAATCCACTGTTGGCTTACGTGTGCCCCCCATTGCCTGTTGTAAGCCTCTAGATATACAAGCAGGGGATATATTAAACTTGTATGGTATGCTCACATTAATTCAAAAATTATATAATATTTATATAATTTTGTTTATATAATTTAGATAGGGGTATTCAAATGCAGCATCCAGTAACCTCAATTCAGAAAAAAAAAAACATTATTTAAAATGTTATCAACATTTTCTCATGTATGAAGGTTTTTTTTTAGACATTTATTTACAAACATCACACATAATGAGCATATTGTTTTCATGTGTTTTTACCAATTGAGCCTGCACTATCG